GCGAGCGAAACCGAAGCAATCAGGGCTCAGGTTGCTCAGGAAGCTGCGATTGATGAAGAGGCAGCGAGAAAATTTGCGGAGCACACGTCGGAGCCACCGAGCGCGAAGAGCGTGGAGCTGAGTAAGCTTGACGACGCCATGAGAGATGTCGACCTCCGGGACATGCCAGGGCCAACATCACCCAGCCAGCGTGCCGAAGTTCAGGCGCCGAGTTCAGCGCCCGGCCTCAACAACGCAGCAATGAGCCGGAGTGGATCACACGCAAGTGCAATGGCTCCCCCGCCTCGACCTAGAAGAGATCCCAAACGGTTGAGCGTCATGCCGACTTCTCCACCAAGTGCGCAGAACCCTGCCGGTGCCTCCCGTGTACGCCAAGACGACCATATTTCAGCTCCTGTCCATGGCACGTCTGCATCGAGCACACCTCTTCCAGTAAACCGGCAGATTGAGCCTGTCGGTAACTTCGCAGACTGGTCCCAAGACGGTTTCAAGGGTGAGTATCTCCCGCATCCTAGATGAGACGTCAAGTAGACGCTGACGACCAGAGCGCTTGTCGCTCGCAGCGAATCTATTGATTGATTTGTCGCGTGGTGGAATCACTGCAGCAGCAGTCTCAGACGTCGGATTCATTGCAATCGCGTACGGTGCGGCCTTGGCCATCATTGACCTCCGAATCGCGGACATAATTTACAGAGAAGGCTTTGGAGATGGCTCAGACACGCCTGCGCTGTCAGCAGGCGCATCGAGCAAGGAGGGTAAGGAGTACCGTAAACTAGTAGAGGAGGAAAGCGCGGATGCCATAAGCTTGTTGCGTTTGAGTATGGCGCGTACCATCGAACACAATCTGCTGGCTCCCCAACTACTCGTATTACGCCCCAATCGCGTAGGCATCAGAACCTTCCTCAAAGCGCCCAATGAATGGATAGTGACCCGAACAGGTGTCGCTACATTCGACGACCTCCACACACCGGTAGATGCATACGTCCTCGACTCAAAAGGCAGAGAGTGTGGTGCTACCCCGCTCGAGCTCCGACAGGGCCTTCGGGAGCAGGACACTCCAGACGATGACGATCCAGAGAGGCACGAAATCCATTCGCTCGTTTTGGCAGGCGAACAAAGTGAGTCGAGCTTCATGGTGTCCTTCTGTCACGTCTCAATTGTTGACCAAACTTCACCTTGCCAGACATTTATGTGCGAGCTGGAGTGACCGGCGCCAAGCTTGCGAAAGTAAATGTTGGGGAGCGAATCTTGCGCATGCAAATCGTTGAACGATTTGGTCAGCACGTCTGCATGGCGTCGACACTCAGCTCGACACAGGTGTACTCTCTACCTCATTTGCAGCACGTCGTCCGGCTGCCCAGTAAGCATCGGCGCGACGCTACAGCTACCGCTGCTGTGGATGGCCAGCTCTTGGCACCCATCCCCGTCAGCTTCTCGATGTCTCGAAGCGGAGACGTGATCGAGCTCGGCCCGACACTACAAGACCTCCGACTCTCAACACTTCTTGGCAATGTTGCCAGACCAGGTGTTCCTGCGCTTGATCTGTACTCCCCCACCAAAGCTTCCGCTTGCCCACATCACCCTGGCGCCGTCACAGCTGCCGTCAAAGGTGTCACGTCCTGGCTTTCGGGCAAGTCCAGCGCCATCGATGCAGGCTCGCAGCTCGACGAATTACTCGCGGGGACGACATCCGGAAAAAGACCTGAAGCTCCGAAGCTCCCTGAGCCAAAGCACGTCCAGATGGCAGCTGCTCGAGAATTGGAAATCGCAGAAAGGTTGGCGGCGAGAGAAGAGGCTGAGGCTCGCAAGAATGGTGTCAAGTCAGGTGGTCAGTCAGTTCGGCAACCCCCGCCGCCCAGAACGCTTGGTGAACGGCATTCTGAAACGGTGGCGAGGGAGACGAGGGATGCTCGCAACGCTGCTGCCAATGCGAGAACTGCGGCTGAAGAGAGGGGGCAGCTCATGGGCGGGTGAGTAGAGTATTCGGTGTGAGAGGCTCACTTTGTCCGGACCACCATGTTCACGCTCTGCTTTGT